ATGTAACAAGGGGCATATCTGAAGTTCAAACCTCCTTCAGCACTGGCAAACTTACCGCTAAACTGACATCTAGTTCTTCTGTGACTTTTGGGTGTAAGCTGATCTCAGATCCAGAGCTACTCAGCTTCCTTTCATTATATAAATAGGAGATTGGAACAGGTAGGTGGTTTAATTGCCTACACTACAAATATACATTTTGAACTGTTGCACACTGTTTTCTTGCTGCAACTTTTACATATTGAGTATTAAGCTTTTGGATACAGCATGCTGTCTGATTCAGGTCACCAACAATCAGGCACAATTACCCAGAAAGCAAGAAGGAAATCTGCCACCCTTACCCGATCTGGCCTACAGGCATTTCCAGACCCACAGATATGTTGCTGACTGATAACTGTCTTTGGAAATGGTGAAGCAAGCTACCCAATTGAACAGCAATTAGGAATGGACAACAAACGATGGCTTTGTTAGAGATGCTCACATCCCTTGAAAGAATAAAGGAGAATACCACAGGCAACTTTTCCTGAATTCAGGGTACCTGAGATGGTCCATTTTAATCGTATTTCTGAATCTTCAAAAAAAAACAAACATTCAACTAACCTTCCATACCCTTTAAATTACAGATTTACTATTGTAGTTGAAGCCATGACATGCTTAATTCCCATATGTGCAGTTATCTGGTGAACCTTACTGTTTCTAAATAGTTGGATAACATGAAATAAAAGGTGTTAGTAGAAGGATAACGAGAATGAGATCAATTGGAGTAGTATACAGAGCTTCTGACTGTGCCAAGGGCCTAAATGGCCGATGGTAAGTTTGTGAATGGCTAACAGTTAATCTTACATGTAATGTACTGCATTTAAAAAATAAATCATGAATATTGAGGATCTCAATGCTTAGAATGGAAGTAACAATATTTTTATATGTGTGCCTTTGAGACAGCAATATCAATACTATACAGGTACAGTATCTCAAGCATTGCTATTCAAAAACTGGGCCTTTTATATAAAGGACATCATGGTTATTCCTGGGGGGAGAAAAGTTCTTCTCTTAGTCTGCTGACAGAACATTGTTGTGGCGATCTGGATTTTAGCATTAGGACATTTAATCCATGCAAGCTGTTGCAATCATTAAAAAGACTGATTGCCAAAGACAGAGTATATGTTAATGCTGAGAAAATTACAGTGCATTTTTGATTAGTCACACAAGCTGAAAACTGGCAAAATCCCAAAACCTTCTCCCATTCCTCTCATTATGAAATTCGTGACAACTCTTCTTCAATTTTAATAAAGCTTTGCTTAAAACATAATTTACTTCTTACATACTCTTGGAATTTCAAGGTCTATTCTGAAACATATCAAAAATTTGACTGCTCTAAATCCTACTTTTAGAACCAGCAGTGTAGCTGCCCAAGGTGTCAGATAACGCTGACTGACCTGGTCTTCAAACTGAAACAACAGCAATTCTTGCTTTACTTTTATTTTGGTGATGCCATTGGTCTAATTAATGAGTTACCTATAGCCTGGCAGCACAAGTTCCTGTTAAATCTCCAAGTACTGTATGCAGGTTAGCAGATCCCAGTGAATGCAACACCATGTAGTTTCCAGTACCTTGAATTGGGATAGCAACTCTTCACCAACAGTGGTAGGCCCAGGTTCATTTTCACGAGTTTCAGCACGGCAAAGAATTTCATCAATATCCATTTCCTACAAAAACAATTTAGCTTTTTAAATTTAACTGCATTGTCAATATCATGCTCAACTGATTTCCAATGTTTTTACAGTGTGCTTGTAAGTTGTGTTAAAACATTTCAGACTTGTTTTCCTTTTGTGCCTTTAGAAGTAATCTTAAGGAACAAAAGTTAAGCAAAAATAGCATAAAAATGTTTTAAACAAAAACTGAAATTGGTGGAAAGGCTCTGGAGGTCTGGCAGCATTTGTGGAGAGAAATCATAACGTTTCGGGTTCAGTGACCCTTCCTCAGAAGGATGTTTTAAATTGAAGAGAAATCAAGGCTTTGTCTTGTAAAATCTAAAATAACTCATTTTTGTGCAACTTAACTCTCCAAAAGTTGATTCTTAGTTTGAAATGTACAGACTTACATTTTCCTCCATTTTGACATCACTTTTTGAATTGTAATCAGGTGGGATGTTTTGCCTGGCCTACTGCTCTCAGTTGTATGTACTGGATGTGGAGAAAGAGGGGCAAAGAAGATAGAATGGAGAAACAGATGCCACTCAGGGTTTCTGGAAGATAAGTCAGGAGAAAGAGTAAACATGTCTGGGGTGTAGGAGAGGATGAGCTCTGTCTGTGGTGCAGGATGGAATTCTTGCACTACCAGTACAGGAGCTGAATATTGCTGTGGGTTGGCACTCCAGCTGATTTACCTGCCAGTTTTGTTGTTTTTCTGCCTGTTATGAAAGCTCACAAGCAAACCAATGTAAAACCAGGATAGATAAAGTGCACCCAGTCCAATCCTCCATGTTTGTGGTCACCTGATCCCACTGTCATTGGAATCACAAAACAATCCAGGAGGATAAAGCCAACAATTAGAACTGTAAACTTCCGTATAAGAACTGTGGAAGCATGCAGGTCAGGACTTCAGCATCCTGTGGTGCATCAGCAACTAAGTTCGAGTTGGAGGCACCTCTCCATATCAGAAAATGTGGGCCATAATAACTGCTTGAAAGTGACTCTGTAAGAGTGCAACATAGACATTCACAAGTAGGAAGAACCAATCAAAGCTACCAGTTAAATCATCATTATTACGGCAAAATCTAAGCCATGATATTTTGGAAGTCGTATTCAATGCTGAGGGATAAGTGAAACATTACGAAACACAAACTTCTGACCTTAAGAAATCTAAGCCCATGTTGACAAAATTAGTACACGACCTGAATAGATTAACTTAGATAGATTTGAAACTTGCAATGCACTGTAATAAAAAATAGTGAACATATCAGACAGAAGGGAGAAGCATTTCCAGCAATTTGTTTAAAAACATTTAATTTCAGGTAAGTATTATAAGTGTACAAAAGGTAAACCCTTGTTGTTTAGCTACCTGTGGTTCTTGTTCCTCTCCTTCTGGCTCTTTAAAAAGTTCCTCAGCTCCAAACTTCAGGATAGCTGCCAGCTCTTCTTTATTAAAAGGTGTAGAACTGAAATTAGAAGAGATAAAACCAAATAAAATTGTGGGTTCTTGACCACAATCCTAACAAGCACTCTAGATTTGGAAATGAACTGAAATCCTGGCACACAGTCTGCAACATTATTTCCACAGTTAAGTCCCATTCTGGTAAGAATTCCTGTAATTTTTCTGCTGCGTTTATGAAGATGAAAGTGGATTCAAATTTCTGATTAGCTATTTACAGTGGAGTCTTTTTTTCATATTTGTTCTTTGGAATTGATGACAAGACCAGCATTCTTTTTTCAACTGCCCTTGAAACGGAAATGGTGAGCTGTCTTCTTGAACTGCTACAACTAATCTGGTGTTGGGAAAAAAATTCCAGGATTTTGACCAGGTGAATGAAAAAAGGGTAACACAGTTTCCAGTCAGGGTCGTGTGTAACTTGGAGGGATACTTGCGGGTACTGGCATTCCCATGCAATGCTGCCCTTATCCTTCTGGGTATCAGATGTCCCAGGTGGGCCAAATTGTAGGGATTCTATATCTAAGGGCTAGTGCCTCCTCTATGATTCTAAGGGGCTTTGGCAAGTTAATGCAGCACATCTTGCAAGGGGTACACACTGCTTGTCACTGTGTGCTAGTGGTGGAGGATGGTGGAATCGGTGCCAATTAACAGGGCTGTTCCCCTTAGAACAAAGATGGGGCAGAGATTTAATAGGTGTGTACAAGGTTATGACAGATTCAGGTTAGGTTGGCAAAGAAATGCTGCTTCTGATACCTGACAGTGCAAGAACTTGGGGCAAAGGTTTAATGATTAAGCAAGAAATTTAGGAGACAGGGAGGAAGAAGAATTTTTGTGCATCCACCATGTAAAGTACTCCTACTAATGCTGTCACAGTCAGATACATTCGTGACAGGTAAATTAGCAAGGATGAAATCAAATAGGTTTGCCCCATTGTTTATTCTCTTCCCAGCTACCACCAATATACTCATCAGCCTTGGCCACCCTGGTTAGTAGTGCACATTGAAGTCTCCATCCAGAGTACATCTTGTGCCCTTGATACTCTGTTTCTTCCAAATGGTATCCAATATGGAAAAGGACTGATACATCAGCTGAGAGACGGCAGTAGTAATTAGCAAGCTTGTCCATATTCGATCTGCCACTTTGACACTCTTTCAATTGAATATATATTGTTTTCCATTGGAACATTTTCCAATTTCAAGAATTGCTGATACTGATCTACTTTCAGCCCAAAACAGCAGCAAAGTCAGCAGAGGGGTCACAACTGTCAACACCTCACACGGGGTATGGCTTCATCTCAATGTTGCTGAACGAGAGGAAGCTTCAAACGAGGTTCTTGGTGCTGCTCATCAGTTGTGAGAAAGTGACAAAGTGACCTCCTCTCATGCTGATGTGGCTGATAGGCCACAGGACAGCAGTAATTCCAGGAGGATTCTAGCACTGACCAGCAATGGAGCAGAGTTAGAGCTAAACACATTCGTGTCGGCATATAAGCATCTACGAGTCAGACAGCGTAATAACTGGTTTCCTTCTCTAAAATGTATTAGTGAATAGCTGGGTCTTATGACAACCTGGCAGCATGTGGCCACAATTGCTGATACGAAGCTGTTCTATTCTAATTTATATAATTAATTGAATTTAAAGTCCCCAACAGTTGTGATAATTCACGTCTCAATTATCAGTCCACTACCATAAACATGATGCTCATATTAATATTATGCTTATAGTGATCTGTAATATATTCCCAATGAAGTATAATATTGCAGAATTGTACTGAATTATCTCGATGTAAGTTAATTGATGTTTGGTCAGAAGTCATTTTACTATCTGTGCTACAGTGACAGGGAAGCTTTGTAGAACCAAGTGTGTTAAAATCACTTCTTTTTTTTAAAATGATGTACTGTAACAGCCCTGCACAGTTTCAGGCATCAGTTCGCAATGCATTTTACATTTGTATGATACTGTTAAGTCATAAAATTGCTCCCACCTGCACCTCCTTGACTGTAATTTTATGTGCTTTCATGAGACCAGACTTTTACAATGGTTAGATGTTTACCACAGTCCAGCTGGTACATGTGAAGATTTTACACCCCCCATTAGCTCTCACTGAGATCTTAGTGACAATACTGTCACTGTCATCAGCAGTTTTTAGATGCAATTCGTTTAACAGATGTTCTACAGTGTTCTGCTTTTGTTTAAACTTTAAAGGGAAACTTTAAATGGAATATTAAATTTTAAGGATAACGGACTTTGAAACCTAGGCTTCCTTTGTTAAGTATGTGAAAATACATGCAGTGTTGGAGTAACCTGCAATTTGGCAATTGCTCTTCATGTGTTGCCACGCAGGTAAATATAGCATAGGAACAAGCCTTTCGGCCCTCTAAGCCAGTACCGACACATTTTGCCCTTCCACATTAATAATGTCTTCATTACAGGATCCATATCCTTCTATTCCCTTCCTATTCATGTGTTCGTCCAGGTTCTTCTTGAATGCAGTGAAAAGTATTATTTTGCGTGCAATCCAGGCAAATCATACCTTACAATAAGTACATCAGAATAACAGAACAGAATGTAGAATATAGTGTTACAGCAATACAGAGAAGGTGCAGAGAAGGATCGGCTTTAATATATAAGGGATCTGTTCAAAAGTCTGATAACCATGGGAAAGAAGCTGTTGGTCCACTGGAGGAGTCCAAGATGGATCATCCACTCGGCAGTTATGGCTAAAGATTATTGAGAATTACCGTTTGCACTGATATGCTGGGCTCTTCCATTATTGAGAGTGGGGCTGTTTGTGGAGCCTCCTCCTCCAGTGAGTTGTTTAATTGTCCATCAGCATTCACCCCCTGTTGTGGCAGTACTGAGCTCAGATCTGATCCACTGGTTGTGAGTTTGCTTAGCTCTATCATTTGCTGCTTATGCTGTCTGGCACACAAGTAGCCCTGTTAATTAACTTTACCAGGTTGACTTCATTTTCAGGTATGCCTGGTGCTGCTCCTAGCATGCCCTTCTGCACTCTCCACTGAACCAGGGTTGATTCCCCGGCTCGATCGTAATGACTGAATGGGGGATATGTCAGGCTATGAGGTTACAGATTGTGTTGGAGTATGATTCTGCTGCTGTTGATAGCCCACAGCGCCTCATGCATGCTCAAGCACCAAATTGCTAGATCTGTTTGAATCCTGTTCCCTTAGCATGTTGATATTGCCACACAACACAGTGAAGGATATTAGCAATGTGAAGTTGGGACATCATCTCCAGAAGGATTGTGCGGTGATCACTCTTCCAATACTACAATAGAGTCACAAGTAGCCCAGAGAACGCAAGGACGACAAATTTCCTACCCCAAATGTCATTAGCAAAGCAGATGGGTTTTTATGACAATTGTTTTTTGATCACCATTATTAAACTCCATCAGTTATCATGATGACAGAATCTCTGAATTACCGCTTCAGTAACTTACCATATTACCCTATAGGAAGTCTAAATTTTCATTTGATACTGGTTTTGGCTTCTGCCCAAAAGCAACTTATTTCTGTGTGGTTTAAACGTTCACGTTGTGTTAAACTCAAGTATTTATTTTCCAAAATCAAAAAAAACAATGACAAGTTTTCTAAGATACTGGTAAAACTGTAACAGCCAATATTACATGCAAGTAACAAAGTTGAAAAGAATAAAGGCAACTTAAGTCAAGAAATATTACATACTACGATAGGGCTGTAAGAACCTGGCAAAGTGGGAAATCTCTTCTTTTCTCCGGTAAATTGTTAATGCATAGAGACGCAAGCAGCAGAGAATCAAAGGCAAGTTACTTAATGGAGTTGCTAAATAACAAATGACATTTTTTAGCGAATTGTTCTTGGACCGTAAACGATACTTCACAGGAAAATGTAGCTACCTACTTTGTGGGATTGGAGCCAGTGTGTAGCACAGTTTTCCCGGTTGTATCCATTCGTTGTATAACAAGGTGATCCAGCACCATCTTTTTCTTTGCTCTTTCAATGATCTCTTCTTCCACTGTTCCCTTTGTAACTAGCCGATATATATTAACCTGAAAAAATGAATTATGTACGTTATATCCTCACAGATGAATTTTAAAATCTAACTTTTTAGATTCATAAGGATGTTGGTCAGCAAGATTCTTTCAGTATATCGCTCAAGTCTCTAAACACAGTGTATCTTTGGTAATTAGACATAAAACTATTTTGCTTTAGGAGTAAGCCTTTTTAAATCAGTGAAAGTGTAAGTCTAAACATTAAAAGTTAAAATCACGTTCAACATGGTTAAAAAGTTTGACTATAGTGTTAATAATAAACATTAAGTGAAATGCTGAACCCTGACCAACTGAAAAGAAATTAATTACCTGCTTTTTCTGACCAATTCTGTGAGCTCTTGCTTGTGCCTGTAAATCATTCTGCGGATTCCAGTCCGAATCAAAAATAACTACAGTGTCTGCAGATGCCAGGTTTATACCTAACCCTCCCGCTCTGGTTGATAGCAGAAAGCAGAAATCCTGTGGTCATAAAGAGACAAATTCCAAAAGTAGATTCTTCACAATAGCTCACAATTACCATCTCTTTTCCCAGTAATGAAGTGTGAAAATGATATTCTTGCATTTTTTTTTCCTTCAGTTGGCTAGACATTTTAATTTTCTCTCTCTCTCTATCTCTCAACATTTGAGCAAATACTTATATTGAATGTGGAAATAACACACAAATTGACAAATACTACATCTATTGAATTCTGCTGAATTAAGTTTACTTTAATAGCTCTTATGAATGTATCCAAATAATCTCTACCCATCCATCTCTCAGAAGTTGCTGAATAGAACTTTCATTCCATCAGAAAAGAAAACAGCAACTTGCAAGTGAATTATCTGGGACTACTTTACAGGTACACCAATTATCCAATTCAACAGCTGGTCCTACAAGGTTGTTTACGAAATGCATGTGTTTGATTCTCATGGGTTACAAAATATTAAGTAAATTCTGAGTTACTCATTAAGTTTGATCAAATAGGTACAGCATGTGAGATTATCACTTGGAAGACAACTAGAAAGGTCTCAGTTAAGGAGTTTCAGGGTATTGAGATGACTGGGGTAAATTTATTTAGTTCACAAAGGAACAGAATATTTACATTTACAAACAATGGTTAGGCCATGGTGTCCACTACAGTCTCCACTTCTAGTACCACACTTTATTGAGAAGATGCAGAGCAAATTTATCAGAATGATACCAAGGGTGAAAGACTTCAGTTACATGGAAAGATTAGAGAAATGAGCAATGTCCTAGGCGTAGAAATGTTAAGGAGAAATTTAGTTGATGTATTCAATATCATGAATGGTTTGTTGGAATAGATAAGGAGAGACTTTTCCAGTTAAGAAGGGTCAATAATAACAAGTAACTAATTTAAGGTAATTTGGAAAAGAATTACAGGCAAGAAGAGATTTGTTTAATGAAGCAATTTATGAGGATTTTGAGTGCACTGCCTGAAGAGAGTGGTGGAAGCAGATTCAATAAACAAACATTCTCAGAATGAGGAGGTGCTGGTGTTGGACTAGGGTGGACAAGGTCAGATACCACATGATACTAGGTTATAGTCTAACAGGTTTATTTGAAACCACAAGCTTTCAGAGCTTTGCTCCTTCTTCAGGTGTTAATCCTGACACCTGAAGGAGGAGCGACGCTCCAAAAGCTTGTGGTTTCAAATAAACCTGTTAGACTATAACCTGGTGTAGTGTGATTTTTGACCATTTTCAGAATGGCATTGAATAAAAACTGGAAGGAGATAACTTGGTAATGGAAAAAGGGAAAGCAAGTAGAACTAATCAGACAGCTCTCTCAGAGTTAGCACAGTCTTAATGGGCAAATCAACACTGACAGAATTCTTTTTTGTCATATTTGTTCTGTCACTATACTAGAAGTGGATATTTCAATATCCTGCTATTTGTTAGAAGTTACCCTATGAACACTTTAGATAGACCTTTGTGGAAGTATGTGGTGTCAAAATGAACATATAAATTGTTAAAGTTTCATTGCTTTCTCCAACTCAAAACTGTTGCAAATAACACACACAATAAAAAAAAACTGAGACACAGTTTCTGGGCAGTTGTTAGGCAACATTTCAAGTGGCTTCAGCATGTCTATTATCCCTCTTGATGGCTGGTCCCTTATGGGAAAGCAGTTTCTGGTTGGTTGATTAATTGCCTTGTCACTTATGTGAGGTCAACTCCGCTTCCCATATATATGGAACAATTTATCAGCTACACTGCTCATAAACCTGTTACAGGTAGTCTGCAACTTTCACACACAGGGACAATAACAATCATCCCCTTGAGGCAGCATCAGCAGAAACTGTTGTATTAAATATGTTACTATTGAACTTTTGCACTATTTAATCAAATTTTTGGTACAGTTAAATTGTCTCATGGCATTTTTCTATAGCTTACGGCTGAAAGTTCTTTTCGAAGAGAAAGTACAGCATCAGGTATCACAAATACAAGAATCTCGAAAAAGTCAGAAACAATAACTTCACTGGAGGAAGCAGGCCTGGGACAATCTCTCAACAACTAACAGTAGCATCATTATCATACTAAAATCTGAAACAAAGCCAAAAAAGATGCTAGAACTACATAACAGATCTAACAGCATCTGAAACAGAAAGATAGATCAACCATAAGTAATAAAAGCAATATTAAAAGCAAAATACTGTGGAAGCTGGAAATCTGAAACAAACACTAGAATGCTGGAGAAACTCAGCACGTCTGACAGTGGACAAAGAAACAGTTAATGTTCGAGTCTGGTATCACTCTTCTTCAGAACCGGTAAACTGGTAACATTTCAGTGATAACTCTTGATCAGAACACTTGCAATTTTTAAAAATAAAAATGGCAGTGACAAGAAAAAGTTATAACCTGAATAAATATGATCTGATGACAGGACTCTTCCCATTTCAATTCATAATATGAAAGGTTCAAAAAATTTAAACTAGCTATTTCTCTTTGTTCTGTTCACCAACATAAGGTAGTGAGTGAATCTCAATGTAAATCTCAGCTGAACAAAATGGACAGACTCTTGCCCTGGGATTCAAGTCCACAGCCATCTGAAGAGGAGATAACTCTCTTTACTTCTTACTCAATCTTACACAATGTATTCTCACTCACGCAGACACACACACAAAAAGTGTTATGGCTTACATCTGATCCTTCTGCATTGAAATGGTCCAATGCTTGCTTCCTTAACTCGCCCTTAATAGATCCATCTAGTCGCTGTAAGAGAAAATAATCATCATTATTGTGTGGCACACTACAGCAAAATACAGAAAGAAAACTTATAATTACTGTATCCTACAGATTTGTCTTTTGTTGATGGACAGTGTCATTCGTCTCTGTAGATCATTCAATTTACTCTGCTGCATAGAACATAAATGAAGGATGCAAAAGGTTAACTGGCTCAAAGATTGACAACCTAATTCTCAAACGTAAAGTAAAAAATGAACTGCAGATACTGGAGAGCTGACGCAAAGAGAATCAGAAATTGTTGGAGCAACTCAGATATGGCAGCATGTTTCTGAACAAGAGTCACAGGACTTGAAACATTAATTCTGTTTTCTCTTCACAGCTGCAGCCAAACCTGAGTTTTACCAGCAATTTCTGTTTTTGATTGTTTTGAATTCTCAAACCTAATTGGTTTCGCATTGACCATGTCACGTTCAAGGAAGTTTTTATTTCAATGTTACACAGAGCAATTTTTGATCAACTGTATGAACAGTAATAACATTTTACAACCAATTTGTACAATGGCTATCAAATGAGTCTGGATTTGAGATTGCAAGTGAATATCATTTCATACCTTTAGAACATGAGCTCAAAGAAAGAGAAGCCTAGTGTTCCTATTAAGTATTCTCCACGAGGGCAGCAAGCTACAAAAATTCCCTCTTTACTTCTAATCCCTAATTTTAGATCAAACGTGCACTTATAATTAAAAGCGGCAATCTCTTTCTCGTTCTTATGTCAGAATAGAGACCATATAATTGCCTGACCCTTCCAATTCACTTGGTTCCCGAGAAGAAATTCACACATTTAAAACAGCAAACATAAGGCTTGAAAGAAAATTGGTACTTCGAAAAAAAAACTCGCAAACTCTTCACTCTGATTATCTAAAGCTGCAGCAAAACAAAATGATGAAACTACAAGGATGTCAATCGATTGGAATTCCGTAAAACTCAAATTTGCTACAAATAAATGCAACCCACCTATTACAATTGCACTTTGAAATGAGTGTTTCAGTCACAAGAGTGATCCTTAGGCAGAATAAAGACTGAATGGCTCTGAGGATTAATGAAGTGATACAAGTGAAGTTGCTCTGTATTTAGTGGCCTCTCCCATTGGCTGGAATATATTTCCTTTTCAAGTATTTATTCAATTCTCTTTTGAGAGTGATAAATGAAGCTGCTTCCAATGGATTTCAGCTGTGCATTCCAGATCACATTAACACTGCATAAAAATAAATTCTAATAATCTAATTCTTCATACATTTCTTTCAGTTATTAATCTTCTTGCCAGTGCAAACAATTTCTCCCCAAAACTTTCAAAATTTATCCAACTTCTCATTACCTTTTCTACTCTTAAGGGAAACAACCTCAAGTTCGCTAGTCGCTCCATATTACTGAAGCTCTTCATCCCTGATACAATTTCAGTAAATCTGCTCTGCATCTTTCCAATGTATTCTCCAACATTACAATACTTCAGAACTATTTCCATGCAAGTATAATACTTAGATCACTGCAAGAGTAACTCAAGGTTAATTTTTTTTCCCCCCCCTGTGTGTAGTGTTATCTTAGTTCAAAGCCCAGATAAGCTCAGGCACACCCTTAATGGTGCATGCACAATGCCACTAATAACCTGCTGGAATCAAAAACTGTCAGCAAACAGTTAGCTTGAGATTTTCAACACTTACTCCAAAAATAAAGAGAGAAATTTGGATAATAGCATTTTTAAAACTCCTTTCCAATCATTCTGCAACATTTAAGGTCAGGTTTTCTTTTATTTGCAAATTAATTCCTCTCCTTGGAAATCCATTTCTGGATTTGGCACTTCCTTGGTGCTTGCACCTAGATCACTAATGTCACATCTAACCCCTTAGAGTAAGGGAATGCAGGACCTCATCAACTGATTTTTCAATCAGTAGGAAAATGTTTGACCAACACATGCAATCTAGTTAAAACTGAGAACCCAGCAGAATGGGTTAGTTTGAAGGAAATTTTTTCCAAACCCTTTCATTCTATGTGCCACTTAACAGCAATCCAACACATGTTCCCTAGTTTTGATCTACTACAGTTGATACAAAAGCCCACGTCTGAAGAGGAGATAACATGCAAGATCAAATACACTGCCATCAATGTTCATGTGTGAACTTTTCCCAGCAGTTTACAAACTCCAGTGAGAATACGAACCTGGAAACAAAACTGTCGGCATTTCAAATATTCTGCTAAAATGTCCAGCATTCGAACCATTTGGGAGAAGATAAGAACTCTGTGGCCTCGCTCCTTTAGTCGACAAAGCAGCTTGTCCAACAGTATCAACTTCCCGCTATTACGAATCAAATGCTAGGGAAACAAAAAAATCAGAAAGAAGTAATTCAAACAACAGACCTACATGCCTTTTAGTAAACAAATAAACACAATCAATTGAATAAAAACCGAAAGAACTGCGGATGCTGTAAATCAGGAACAAAAACAGAAGTTGCTGGAAAAGCTCATTAGGTCTGCCACACGTGCAGAAAAAAATCAGAGTTAACCTTTCGGGTCCGGTGACCCTTCACCAGGAGTGTTTTGAGGAGGGGTCACCGGATCCGAAACTTTAACTGATCTTTTCTTCACAGATGCTGCCAGGCCTAATGAGCTTTTCCAGCAGCTTCTGGTTTTGTTCACAATCAACTGAATGATCTGCAAAGACAATGGCTAATCTCACAAAGGTCTGCTGCATTATAATTAAATTAATTTCAAACTCCTAAATGGACACTACACTTTTACTCATACTTCCTGTTCAGGGTTGAAATGAAACTGATTATAACAATGCATGCAACCCTATTGAATATCAATAAGCAAATCATGAAGATGATTTATAGGTTTCATCAAAGAGGTACATCTCAGTAATCCAATTTCCTTCCCCAAAGCACAAGAGCAAATTTAATCAGTAAGGGAATCTAGGATTACAGGGAAATGGCAGGAAAGTAGAGTCGAGGATTATCGGATCAGCCATGATCTCAATAAATGACGAAGCTGACCCTATGGACTGAATGGCCTACTTCTGTTCCAATGTCTAATAAATGACAATCGACCAGGGTACCATGGTCACCATTACTGAGACTAGCTTTTCTAATTCCAGATTTATAAATCTAATTTAAATTCCATCAACTTTCAAGGTAGGATTTTAACCCAAGTTGCCAGAGCATTAAAACAAAACAAAGAATTGCAGACGCTGAGATATAAAGCAAAAACAGAAATTGCTGGAGCAACTCAGCAAGTCCAACAGCATCTGCGGAGAGAAAGCAGAGTCCAGAGACCCTTCTTCAGAACCAGGTTCTAAACAAGAGTCACTGAACTTAAAAGGTTAACTCTGCTTTCTCTCCACAGATGTTGTTGGACTTGCTGAGTTTGCTCCAGCAATTGCTGTTTTATTCTCCAGAGCATTACCCTAGGCTGCTGGATTATTCTTTTGGTGACATTACGACTATACTACTGCCTCCCTTAAAAGTTGTGAAACAAAAAACGATCTTTAAAAAATGAAAGTGGCCATGGAATTGCCAAATTGCATTTAAACAAAATCTTAATGGCTCACTCACACCCCTCAGGGACAGAAACCTGCTCTTAACATTTTAGTCTGTGTGTGTCTGAAATCCCATACCAATGTACTTCCTGAAGTGACCTAGTAAACCACTCAATCGCATAAAAGTGATTCGCAAATAATGGCTTGGTAAAGCAGCCCACTTCTCAGTGTAACGAGAGATGCAATGAACGCTACATTTGCCAACCGTGCCCACATCCTATTAATATATAGCTTCCATCACTTAGAAAAATAATTTCTTATATTTAACCTTTGACTATGTTGTTATTCTTTCCAAGTATCAGATTTTGCAACATGAAACTTGTTCCAAATTCATCTGAATAGGTATTTTGGGCATCAACTCAGTTCTTTTGACCCAGTAAAACAAAAACAAATCAACACAATTGTTTAATAGTCAAGTCTTAAAATACTTAGATTAAAAAATTATCCACACGTCTGGTATTAATCTAATCCACATCACAAACAGATCACTAAGGGGCACATGCATGGTTACCTCACGTGTGTTCTGTGAAATCATACCTGTAAGGCCTCCTGTCTGTTATAGAAATTATTATCTTCTGGAAGTTTTATGAGGTAGCAATGGTTACAACATTTTTTAAGTTCCATCATGATATTGAGAAAGCCAGAAGTGCTGCCTTTACACCCTTTGCTCAGGGCTTTGTAATTCCTGGTTAAAATCCATCTGTTGCATTGTAAGATAAAAATATCAGCAATTAGTACCAACATTATAATATGAATTAACAGTAATGACTGTCAACTAACTGAACCATTAATTAGGTATCAGGGCTTATTTTAAAGAAGATTCTTTAACTTAAAATGGTTCTAAACATAACACCAATACTTATCACACAGGTATCTGATTTCAATGAGTTCCATAGGTAACCATTTATCAAATTTATAAAACTCCTGATTTTAGGAGTGCTATTATACACCTCTATAGGAACTTAGCTTGCATGCTTTTGTCCTCTGTTTTGCAAATCTGTCAATGTTCATAAAGGGAAGATATTAATAGACTTCACGTCTTTACGCAGAATACAAAACATGGGCAATGCTCTAAAAGTCTCATTACATCCTTTGCATTTAATTTAGCATCTCATTTTCAGAGATTGTATACAAATAATGTTCAATTGCCTATTTTGGCTAATTCAAATTGCTTCGCGTGTACTACTTTTATTAATAAAAAGTCTGAAAGTATTTATTCTTCTTGGGTGTTGCTTACTTATAGTATTGCTTTTGGACTGCACTCATCTCCACTCGCAAGATTTGTTCAACTTTAGCAGGTAGAGACTTCTCAACGTCCTTTTTCACTCTTCGCAGCAAGAATGGCTCCAGTTCCCGATGAAGGCTTGTGTATCCAACTTCTCTTCCTTTACCATGTTCCTCTTCAAACACTTCCCAGGAAGAAAATCTTTTTCCCCACAAACAGAAATAACACTTTTATTTAGTAGCATAGGTCAGCTATTGACAAATAAAACTGCAAAGATTCAACTGACCAAAACACGCTTTTCAATTAGCCATTTTGCACCTGAAAATTAATTGTGACACCTTTGTTAAAAATTAATTCTTGCAACAAGGTAAAATATGTCAAAATTAAGAAATATAATCACAATAATTCATAGGCCATTTATGAACACACATCTGAAACAAAATCCAGCTGTAACGGTTCACTTCAGGAGGTAGAAATTGCAGCAATTGAATAATCAAGAGCGTAGAACTTGGTGTTGAAAATTACTGGGTTAAATTGTTAACTTCAATGATGATCGCACTGTGTAGACAAGACCACTAGGTTCAAAGCAGCCTCTGCCTCACAAGTGATGAGCTCTTTTATTCCATGGCTATAATTTTGTGAAATACTGGACTATTGTTTTCATACAGAGACTGCAGAAGTTGCATCTGTCAAGAATGAGCCACCAAAGGTTAGCATAAACTATGTAACTTTTTAAAATTCTGGTGTCAGGCTGTGCATTTACTGAAAACACAAGTAAAACAGTCTTGTACACATCACAGAATCCCCCACAGTGTGGACTAGGTGTTTCACCCCCATCGAGTTCACAATGACCCTCTGAACAGCACCCCACCCTCCCTTTGCACTCTATCCCTGCATTTCCCATGACTAATCCACCTAGCCCGCACATCTTTCGACGTCCCATACAATTAAAAAAAACTGTCTGGCAAATATATAAAAGATCAATGTTTTATATTAACTGTAAAGGGAAAAATAATTAAACTAATAATGAAACTAAATTTACCTTTGTTGTCACTGAGCCAATTGGATAGACAAAACCCCAAATGGGCCAAAGTACAATCAGAACATAAGACGACAGAAATAGTAAAGAATTTGAGATGGAAGACTAAGAAGCTGACTTGAAGCTACAATTTTTAAAAAAATAATGAAAGGAAGGCCCTATGTTTACATGATGCCTCAAACTGTATTATAGCCAATGAAGCATGTTTCACTGGTATGATGTAGGACAAGCAGCTGCTAATTTGCATTCAATAACATCCTACAAAACAGCAATGTCATAATGGTCAGAAAACTGTTTTCATGACAGTGGCTAACATAATATTGGCCTGGACACTGAGTTAAGATATGTTTCCAAAGAAAATAAAACCTTCCCACCGTAAGACAATTTGATCCCTAACTTAGCACCTATATTACCAAATTCAGAATTCTTCTTCAGACTTACTTTTCTGGCATGATGAAGTGAAGGAGGGACCAGAGTTCTTTGAGTGAGTTTTGGAGTGGAGTTCCGGTTATGAGCAGCCTGTGATTTGACTTGAAGTCGATCATGGTTTTATACAGGAGAGAGTCATCATTCTTCAGACGATGGGCTTCATCTACTCCAATGAAAGCCCAGTTTACACCTCCGAGGAATGACTGAAACAAAATAACAAACCAAAATATTTATTAGTATTTTCAATCCACATTAATTACAGGTTTCACATTTTGAACTTTTGTCTGGAAAACCTGGGGATGGATTTTACAATAGTTAAGGTGCAGATGTTTTTATTTAGTGGGGTAATAATGCATCATTAAAACTGAAGAACTATAGAATCCACCAACTTATGTTACGATATAATTGAAAAGGGTGGCAATCACTGACTACTCATCCAAATCATAAATGATTGTGTCTGATCAGCACAAGAATCATCACAATGGGACCAAGGAACTGCCTTCCCAGTTTTTCCTTTAGACATAATACTCAATTTTTCCCATTGTTTGTCTGTACACAGAGGGAAGTAAATATGGGGGTCAGAGTTTTAACTAGTAGATTGAGACTCATCACAGGCAATGATCAACAGCAATTTTAAAGTGCTCTCACAATGCTGCCTGCTCTTGACCTTACATGGCATGCATACTCCAGGAATAGCAGGGTCCAGCATGCTTCCCCAGTGAAGTATAACGAACACTTAAATACCCAAAATTAGATGGCTTCAAGATGAACGTTTGTTCATCTTGCCCAAGTAATGTGTTGCATTTGGACTGTCTGAGAAATATTCTTTACTAACACATGACTTCCTGTTTTTCCATTGCAACTATCTAATCTATGAATTAAACTACATTTGTTAGTGAGCAGTCTTGTCTCTAGTATGCTCTCTTTCATTTATTTCTGGCACATAAATATCAATCCCAAACTACCCTTGAAAACATAATGGCGAGCTACCTGCTTGAACAATTGCAGTCAATGTGTAGTAGGTACACCCACAGTGCTATTAGGAATGGAGTTTCAAGATTTTGATCCAGCAACACTGAAAGAATGTTAATATAGCTCCAAGTCAGGATGGTGGTGGCTTGGAGAGGAACTTACATGTCGTGATGTTCCCATGCATCTGCTGCCCTGCCTTTCCAAACAGTGAAGAGTACAGGTTTGCTAGGTGCTACCGAAAGAGCCTTAGTGAGTTTTTGCAGTGCATGTTATAGGTGGTATACGCTACCACTACTGATAATTTAGGGGGTGAATGTTGCAAGTTATAGATGAGATGTAAGGCAAATGGACTGCTTTGTCCTGGATGATATCAGGCTTCTCGAATATTGTTGGAGCTGCATCCATTCAGGCATGTGACGGATGTTCCATCACACTCCTGACAGGCACTTTTTAGATAGTGGACAGACTCTAAGGAATCAGGAGGCTATATGCCTCAGAATTCCCTGCCTCTAACCTTTGGTTTTTAAACATATTCATTCACAGGATCTGGGTGTCACAGGCCAGCCCAGTATTTATTAACCACATCACATATAGGCCGGCAGTTTCTTTTCCCAAAGGACATTAGCGAGCCAGATGGGCTTTTCTGACAATCAATAATGATTTTATGGCTGTCATTATCTTAATTTCAGATTTTTGTTGAATTCAAATTCCACTGTCTGCCATGAGGGGATTTGAACTCGCATCCCCAGAACGTTACCAGGATGTCTGGATTAACAGTCCCACGATAATACCACTAGGCCATCACTTCCCCTATTCTTATGACCATAGTATTTGTATCAGTTGTTTCCTGAGGATTCAGCAGTGGCAATGTCACTGAATGTCAAAGACAAAGGTTAAATTCCCTTTTGCCGGAGATGGTCATTGCCTGGTACTTTCATGGTGTGAATGTTACTTGCTACTTGTCAGCACAAACTGATGTTGAAAATAAATAGTACTCCCTACATTCAGGACCATGTTCCATTGGTGAAAATAGCATTAAAATACATAAGAGCAAAATACTGCAAATACTAGAAATCTAAAATTTAAAACATGTGCTGACAATACACAAATGGTAATGCAGTATTTTCCACATCAGAAAGCAATTCTGGTCATCATCCTGAAATTTTGAACTGTCTCTCTCTCCACAGATGCTACCAGAACTACTGAATATTCTGAATTTCTGAACCCAACATCATCTTTGAGATTTTTTGATTGTTAGTATAATTATATGTATTGATTTCATCAGGTGATCATATAAATTATGAGAAACTTTCCACAAATGCAAGGGATACATTTACAGCGTAGCATCCTCACTAAATACATCACAGTTGGTTGTGTATAGTGGACACTTACACTGAAAATATTTGTGACAATTACAACTTGGAATAAAAAAGCTAGAGGTGGTTACATACTCACCTTGTCCTTCAGCAAAATTTCGTATGTTGTTAACAATATATTGAATTTCAACCGCTTTGTCTGAGGATGCATCCATTCATATGTTCTTATCTGGCAGGAAAGCAAATTTATGACAATCAAAAAACTTAAGTCTGCATGTTTACTGATCAATCATTGTCCACTGACAAGGATTAAGGAGCACGCATTTAAAATACTTGAGAGTAAACACAGGCCAAAATAGGCTGTTAATTTCTCAAATAGTAATGAGCTTCTGGGATGTGTTACCAGCTTCCAGTCTGTTCACTCCTAATTCTTTCAAATGGAGTTGGGCTGTTTTTCCTTTGGGGCAGAGAACACATGATTACAATTAAATTACCTACATAAACTTAATTCAGTGTAATTCTGAAGAAGAGCCATATTAGACTCAAAGCGTTAATGCTGTTTCTTCTCCACCTGCTGAGTTTCTATAGCACTTTAATTAAGTTTTTATTTAAGTTAAGAACCAATGTTCACTGAAATCAATTTAACTGGTTTCAATCGGAGGGGTGGCAGAAACTTTGCCCCTTTATCAGCCCTGAGATTTTGCATCTATCAGGTGACTACTGGTGTGTGTGAGGTGTTGACATTCATTTCCAGACCAAGATTTTTCTCTGTTCAAACATGGAAATGACTGCGTAGTTTTTTTTTTACTGAAGTAAAGTAACTGCCTTTAGCACACAAAAACACAGATTTAGCAATTCTGCACTTGTTCTAGCATAAAACATTATTGGATTCTGCTGTCTTCTGCTAAAAGCTACAATTTCTGGTTTCTTTTCCCTACTACGGATCATCTGCTTTAATTGCACACCTGCTGCTCCCACCTTCCCTCCAACAATTGAGACAAATTCACAAATTTCTTTATCCCCGAGACCATGAGATTATCTGCCTCTGCCTCTGCTCCTTTCCTGCCATCCTATCATAGCCCACCTGACCCAAATTTCTTTCAAGGTACCTTTCTTGTAACCTTGAATTCTCATCCTTCAAGTTTTCTGCTGTCTCTCTGTGTCGCTCAGAGCTCACCCTGCCAAATCCTGCTTCCTCACTCTATTCCCATTTAACTGGTGACCACCTAACTTCCCTTACACTTCTCCTTTCCATTTGCTTTTGTCACCTGTCTCCACAAAAATAATCAAATTTTGATCCCTCTGTCATTGTAGACTACCCACACATTGCTAACTATCTTTTCATCTCCAAATTCCTTGGATACACGGTCGCTTCCCAAACCAGAAGGACCACTGGACTCGAAACATTGACTCTGCTTTCTCTCTATATGTACTGCCACACCTGCTGAATCTCTCCAGCAATTTCTACTTTTGCTTCCATTTTTCCATGTTTCCTTGAATTCCTCCAGCCAGAATATTATTCGTGCTGCAATACCTAGGCAATTCTTCTCAGGATCAAAGTGACATTCTCTTGCTTGTGGTGAAGGTAAACTATCCTTCTTCATCTTTTGCAACAAAAGCATTTTGCACCACGACCTACAACAGCCTCCTCCAAAGTCTTCCAACTCCTTGACAGCACACTCATCTAGTTCCAGTCATTATCAAAAGATCATTTGCAAAGATTTCTCTTCCCACTCCTGCACCATCTGTCACTTGCAGTGACAGCAAGGATTAATAGCTGGACTTCACCTATTTCTCATTTATCTGCTGCCTCTTAATGTCACCATTCAAAATCTGTCAGCTTTCACAATGCATTGACACCACCCAGCAACTCTTTACTGCTTCTAAATTGTCAAGAGTGTATAGTCAATGCACCATATTGGATAAGCAGAAACTTCCTCCGACTAAACATTGGACAGAAGCTATTATCTTTGATTCTCACTACAAATTGTTTTCCTTTGTCACTGACTCCACACAGCTCTCTTAGGCTGCAAGAGACGGTTCAAGTGTTTGACCCTGAGGTAAGCTTCTGATCACATATCTATGCCATCACTACGACTGCATTTTCCACTGCTATAACAGTGCACAAATCTGTCCTGGCTCAGCACATCTGTTTTTGAAACCCACAATCCACATCTTTGTTACTTCTAGACTTGACTATTCCAAAGCACCTCTGGTCAGCCGGTCACATTCTACTCTCTACAAACTTGACGGCATCCAACTTTCTCCTGCCTGGATGCTAACTTTCACCAAATTTATTTACCGTTACTTCTGTTCTTATCGACATGCATCAGCTCAGTTTTAAAATTTTTATCCTTGTTTTCAAATCCTTCCCTAGTCTCCTCCAAACTGCAATCCTCCAAGATGTCTGCTTATATTTCTGGCCTCCTATTCATTCCCCTGGCAATCAATCCAATTTCAGTAGTTATGCCTTCAGCTACCAAGGCAGTAAAGCTCTAAAATTTCATCCTTGAATGTTTGAGCAGCTCCTTCCTCCCTAAATCCCTACTTAGAACTTCCAGTCTGACACCGTCTTATGTGACTTGTGTCAAATTCTGCTGGATACTGCTTGTGGGAGCGTGAACGCCTGATCAGGAACAAAGACTCAGGAGGCAGACAGGATTCAGGCAAGTAATGGACTTCTTTCAAGCAAAAGTCAGTTAATGCAGGGTGAGGGCCAAAGGAACTTCCCCAAATCTGGCATTTTGGGATATTTAAATAAAGACTTTTTTGCTGAAAGAAATTACAGCCACAAGATATGTTGCACCTGATATTGATTTGGCTTTCAAGTTTACATTAAGTGGATTTCTCACTTAATGGCACAAAAAAATAGCTCAGACAATGCATCATTTTAAACTGACTATAGTTTCTGAATATACAGTTAAAGTTGACTTGCATTCCTTTAAAATAAAAAATAATCTCTCTGCTAGATGTGGCAACACATAACATCAAATAACAAGTTACCATATTACGGCTACTGATGTCCCCCAAGTAAACTACGACGTTCATTTCAGGTGCCCACATCTCAATTTCTCGTTGCCAGGAAGTGAGTGTTGACAGCGGAACTACTAATAGGAATGGACCATACAGCTGGTGCTCGTGGAACACATAGCTGAGAAAGGAGATGGTTTGAATGGTTTTCCCAAGACCCATTTCATCAGCAAGGATAACACTATTGTTCCTATGAAAAAAAAGCAGTAAACGATTGTTGCAAATTAGCATATTTTAAAAGCTCATTTACATCTTTCTAAGCTGTCAAAAAATGAATGCAAGGAAAGCTATTTAAACAATAACACTCATCTTGTTTCATTTTAGCTTAAGTATTTTAAAAAGGGTAGTGATAAGAAAGGATATTAATATGATGAATAGCTTTAGTGAGAATATGATATAATGGAATGCAGAAGTTGGGCAAAATACGAGTAATGGGAACATGGAAAGGAGTTGTTTCCTTATTCCATACATTCTATTTGCCTGCACCCTGAAATGAAAGAAACGAAGAAGGGGTAGAGGTGACAAAAAGATACAGAACAGGGGGGGAAAAAAAAAAGAGATATGCAGAGAACCAAGCCAAGTAAATAAGTGGCTACAATCACTGAATTATCATGCGCAATACCAGATCTAAGTGGCAAGATATAAGAATTGTTTCCAACTTAGGGTCAGACCACCTCTTGCTGTGATTATCCTGCAAGTGAGATTGTTAATTATTCACTTGGCAATTTCCTTTCTTCAGGAGATGGGCAAAAGTAAAAGTCTGAATCAGGTCTGGAACAATATCCTTAAGTAAGTTACGGTAAGCACACAGCTATGTGACAGTCGATTCCTTGCCTGAATTCAGTGTTAATTACTGTATCAGGAAGTTAAGAAAACATGATGATTCATCACAGATAGTAAGAACTGCCAATGCTGGAGTCAGAGATAACACAGTGTGGAGCTGGAGGAACACAGCAGGCCAGGCAGCATCAGAGGAGCAGGAAAGTTGACATTTTGGGTCAGGATCCTTCTTCAAATTTCCTGTTCCTCTGGTGCTGCCTGGTCTGCTGTGTTCCTCCAGCTCCACACTATGGTGATTCATCAGGACGTGCTATATAAGGGGTTGTTCAAAAAACACAGAGTACGCCACGTAGTCAGAGCAAGAGAGACTTCACCAGAATGAGACGATAGAATGAGTACCTGGGAATTTAAACCCAAGTGGGAATTTAGAGCAGAAGCGTAAAGAGTGTTTTAATTGGGGTTTATGGCAAGAAATAAAGTCTCCAAAATGAGAGGTGATCCAGACAGGAAATAAGACACAGATCAAGAAGCCTACTTGCACTGAGAACAATGGCAGCTTGATGTCAATCAATGCAGGGAAGGCTGTTGGTGAGTAGGATTGGTCAGTATCTCCAGTATTTAAAGAGAAAGTTAGGTATTTAGTTTATGTTTAAGTCTCTCATCTTTTTCTCTTGTTTTCTGAGAAAAAAATACTTAAGTTATCTTAGCAAGTTTGTAGTTATTCTCAGGGTAACAAATAGTTTTTAGAATTATGGGATGGCAAGTCAGAAGGGCCAAATGTGCAGCATGTGTGAAGTCACAGATTTAATAAGTATCCCAGACACAAACATCTGCAGGAAGTATATCAGCCACTGCACAAACTCAGGCTCCAGGTTTGGAGCTTGAGCATCAGCTCATTTTTGTGCATCTGCAAGTTAGAGGACTTCGTGGATAAACATGTTTAGCGAGATAACCACAATGACTGGAATTAAACAGGCAGAAAGGAAATAGGTGACTATTAGGCTGTCTACAAATAAAAACAAATGGGTAACGCAGCAGTCCCCTGAGTCTTTCTTGCTTGCTAATCGGTATTCTATTTTGAACTTGTGAGGTGATGATTTCTCAGCTGAGTGCAGTCAGAGCCAATGACCTTGGCACCATGGATGATTCAGCTGCACATGGGAGGTGAATGAAGAATGGAAGAGCTAAACAAGTTTGACTCCAAGGTGGTATGCTGCTTGCCTAATGCCAGGCTCAAAGATGTTAACGAGGAGTTGTAGGACATCCTTCTGGAGGACGGAAATAAACCAGTCGCGGTCCACAGTAGTATTAATGACATAAGCAAGAAGATGGATAAGGTCCTGAAAATTTATTTACGGAAATTAGGAAGGACATTAAAAAGCAGTACCTCAAGAACGATTTCAGGATTACTCCCAGTATAACATGCTATTGAGGATAAAAACAGGAGAATTAACTGAACACATGGCTGGATAACTGGTGTAGGAGTGAGAGTATCAGATTTCTGAGGCATTTGAACTGGAACTGGGGGAAGTAGGACCTGTACAAGGTGACAGATTACATGTTAACAAGACTGCGACTGATATTCCTCAGGGAGATTCGCTAAAATTATTGGGGTCATTTTAAACTAGTTTATCAGGGTGATAGGAACCTGAGAGGTAACTCAAATTGAGAGGGAATTAAGCTAGTAACAGGAAGTAGACAAGCTGTAAGGGAAGTAGAACAGCAAAGAAACAAAGCCAAGGACAGTGCATGCCTCCAATGTGGAATGATGTAAAGTCAAAATTAAGGGCAAAAAAATGCTGATGCACACAACATTCACAAGATTGCCAAATCTAAATGCACGTTTAGAGGTAAATGGTTACAATATAATTGGCATTGCAGAAACATGACTGCATGGTGACCAGGACTGGGCACTGAATATTCAAAAATATTTGACATTTAGGAAGGGAACGCAAGATGGAAAAGGAAGTGGAGTTGTGCTGATAATACAAGATGGGAATCAACATACTAGTAAGGTAAGATCACAGATCGGAAGAACAATGTCTGAAATCTGTTCGGGTGGAGCTAAGAAACAGCAAAGGACAGCAGACATTGGTTGGAGTTATATAGGCGACCAAATAGTGATGATAGCATGGGACAAGGTATAAACTAGCAGATGGGAGAAGCATGCAGCACGGGCAACATAGTTATCATGGGTGACTTCAACCTGCAAAAAGATTGTGTAAACCAATTGAGCA